GCCGCCGCCATCACAACCATCACCACCACCACCACCGCCGCCGCCACCACAACCATCACCACCGCCGCCGCCACCACAACCATCACCACCATCACCACCACCGCCGCCGCCACCACCACCATCACCACCATCACCACCATCACCACCACCATCACCGCCGCCACCACCACCACCCGGTGGCCTGGTGGCTAAAGCTCCCGCTTCACACACAGAGGGCCCGGGTTCGATTCCCGGCGGGTGGAAACATTTCGACACGTTTCCTTACACCTGTTGTCCTGTTCACCTAGCAGCAAATAGGTACCTGGGTGTTAGTCGACTGGTGTGGGTCGCATCCTGGGGGACAAGATTAAGGACCCCAATGGAAATAAGTTAGACAGTCCTCGATGACGCACTGACTTTCTTGGGTTATCCTGGGTGGCTAACCCTCCGGGGTTAAAAATCCGAACGAAATCTTATCTTATCTTATCACCACCACCATCACCACCACCGCCGTCACCACCACCACCACCGCCGCCCCCACCACCGCCGTCACCACCACCGCAACCGCCACCACCACCACCACCACTTCCTCCTCCTCCTCCTCCTCCTCCTCGCCCTCCTCCTCCTCTTTATCCTCTCGACTTCCATTCCCGTCTCTGTTACCGTCCCCTTCTCTCCTCCCCTCCCCTTAGTGATTCCCTTCCCACCCACTTCCCACTCCCCACCTCTCATTCTTCCCCTCCCATTATCTCTTCCTCTCCCTCTTTCCTTTTTTTCCCCTCCCATTCCTCTTCCCCCTATCTTTAACCCTCTCCTTTTCCCCTCCCCCCTCTCCCGCTTCCCCTCCCCACCCCCTCCCCTCTTATTTACCAACACACCACCTGGCACTCAAGACACCAACCACCACTCAGTGTCTGGCTCGACCAGCCACTCAACTGCTCTATTGGGCACTCAAACACTCCGTCGAGCACCCGAGTGCCCAGTTGAGCACTTTAGTGCTCAGTGAGAGCACTAAAGTCTAGCTCTTTCGAGCACTCTAGATCTTCGTCAAGCTCCGTAGCGCTCTATCGAGTATACTAGTACTCTCCCGACCTCATAACTTCGGTATAACTGTGTCTGCCATTATGAATAATATTAGGAGAGAAGTAAATAATGAAAATGATTGTTATAGGAATACAAGTAGAAGTCTGAGTAGATCAATAACCCACTATGATAACATGAACATAGATAAGTACGTTTATGGAGCAACTTGCAATGTGAACAGACTGACTGATGTTGTAGTGGCCAGGCTTAGGCTTGGTTACAAGTACTTCTGGCAGTTTGGGAGACACACAGATGATGATCAAACTAAATGTAAATTATGTGATCAGGTATATGGTCACTCTCTTGAACACTATGTGCTTAATTGTCCACTTATTGAGGAATATAGATATAGACAGTATAATAACCTATGTGACATGTCAAGATGTTAATGAAAATAAGATACCAGATATACTAAGCAAATTTCCTAAATTTGCTTGTAACAGCTAAGTGAATTGCAGATATAAGGCCCTTTTGGGGCCTAGTTCCTAGGCCTTTTGTATATTCATATGCTCCTGCGTTACCGTCCACAGGATGGATATGGGGTGCACAATAAACTAGCCACTGCGGTGGCAAAATCTTAATCTAATCTAGCACTCCTCCGAGACCTCTAGTACTCCCTCGAGACCTCTAGTACTCCCCTGAGACCTCTAGCACTCCTCCGAGACCTCTAGTACTCCCCTAGACCTCTCCTATTCCCCCAAGACCTCCAGCACTCCCCCGAGAAATCTAGCACTCCTCCGAGACCTCCAGTACTCTTCCAAGCCCTCCAACACTCCCTCGAGACCTCTAGCACTCCCCGAGACTTTTGCATTCCCCGAGACCTCTAGCACTCCCCCGAGACCTCTAGCACTCCCCGAGACCTCTAGCACTCCCCCGAGACCTCTAGCACTCCCCCGAGACCTCTAGCACTCCCCGAGACCTCTAGCACTCCCCCGAGACCTCTAGCACTCCCCCGAGACCTCTAGCACTCCCCCGAGACCTCTAGCACACTCCCCCGAGACCTCTAGCACTCCCCCGAGACCTCTAGCACTCCCCCGAGACCTCTAGCACTCCCCCGAGGCCTCCAGCACTCCCTCGAGTAATCTAGAGCTCCGTTGAGCAGCCCAGCGTTATGCTGAGCATTCAAGTATAAGCAAGAGTTCTCTTGAGATTTTCCCAGTACCAACAACAGCACCAGCAGCAACAGCACTACCAGTAACACCAGCATCAGCAGTAACACCAGCACCAGCAGTAACACCAGCATCAGCAGTAACACCACCACCAGCAGTAACACCAACATCAGCAGTAACACCACCACCAGCAGTAACACCACCACCAGCAGTAACACCACCACCAGCAGTAACACCACCACCAGCAGTAACACCAACATCAGCAGTAACACCACCACCAGCAGTAACATCAACATCAGCAGTAACACCACCACCAGCAGTAACACCACCAGCAGTAACACCAACATCAGCAGTAACACCACCACCAGCAGTGACACCAACATCAGCAGTGACACCACCACCAGCAGTAACACCACCAGCAGCAGTAACACCACCACCACCAGTAACACCAACATCAGCAGTAACACCACCACCAGCAGTAACACCACCACCAGCAGTAACACCACCACCACCAGTAACACCAACATCAGCAGTAACACCACCACCAGCAGTAAACACCACCACCAGCAGTAACACCAACATCAGCAGTAACACCACCACCAGCAGTAACACCACCACCAGCAGTGACACCAACATCAGCAGTGACACCACCACCAGCAGTAACATCACCACCAGCAGTAACACCACCACCAGCAGTAACACCACCACCAGTAACATCAACATCAGCAGTAACACCACCACCAGTAACACCAACATCAGCAGTAACACCACCACCAGCAGTGACACCAACATCAGCAGTGACACCAACATCAGCATCAATAACACCAGAACTAGCTGGTGTTATTGATGCGTGGCTGGTGGTCTCCAGGTGTTATGATCATCAATCAGCTGCTGCTGCTGGCACCAATAACAATAAAATTATCATGAAGGAACTTGCCAATCTGAGGAGAAGCGGCTTTTATTGACTGACAATGAAGTAAGTGAAGAGAAGATGCGTACGAGCAAGCCAGAGAGAGAGAGAGAAAGAGAAAGAGAGAAACAATAGAGGAGAAGTAAAGACCGGGCCCGAACAAATATCAAATATTAGAATGCCTAATGAGGAAGTAAAGAAATTTGCGATTGAACCCGGCATCAAAGGTATCAGTTTCGGTGCAAGATTCAGTTTCCTAAGTGCGGGTTATTTGTGTCTCATAACCTGATGGAATATAATCACTAATTGTATGGGAAGGAGGTGAAATATTGCTCTAGCCAGTCGTGTAGATCTGTACCAAATCATAACGAATGAAGTTGTGTCAGACGACTGGAAGGTAACGAACATTATACTAAGTCGGATTATTATTATTATTATTATGGGGAGCGCTAAACCCATAGGGTTTATACAGCGCTTGTGGGGGGAGGGGGAATGGAAGGGATTCAGACTCAATTCAGGGAACTGGAGCACAGATCCAATTCCCTGGATCATGAGCCCCTCACCAGCGTCAAGAAACCTCCCGTGGGGGTTACTGAGTCGGAGAGGAAACCCTGAACCACAAACAAGCGTCCCGAGTGAATGTGCCATGGGAAGAATTATTGAGCATTTAGAAAGCGTTAATTCCCTCAGAGCACAGTCATGTATTCAGTAATGGAAGGTAGCGCCATGTAAAAACTATTAACACATCTTATTGACGAAATAGGAGAGGGAGGGATGGATTATATTTTATCTAACCTGTAAAACGGCCATACATATAATGTTACATTCACATTCACTGGAGATTCAAGCTAAAGTAATAAGGCATTATTAGTATGGATAAAAACAAACTTATATTAACGCTTCTAAATACTGTATACAGACCATACCACGGGCGGAGATAGAACCCGCGATCAGAGAGTCTCAAAACTCCAGACCGTCGCGTTAGCCTCTGGACCAGCTAGCCACAATAAGATTCGTCCAACTCCAACGCGACGGACTGGAGTTTTGAGACTCTGATCGCGGGTTCTATCCCCGCCCATGGTATGGTTTGTTTGCAATCGTATCACTACGATTTCGTGAGTTACTGTATACAGGATATGAGACTGTAGCTAGTGTAGTCCATCAAGGATCAGTGTTAAACCTTACATTGCTCCGAGGTATGTTAACCACTTAACAGCACGAATATACTTCAACATATCCGTATGCAACACTTATATTGAACCTTCGTCTATTAAAACGCGGCGAAACATGAGAAAATACAGAAGAGTGAATCAAGGCTGGAGCGATTGTTTAAGAGGAAAATATGATACAGAGAAGATTTTGAGAGATGGGTTTTGTCTCCCGAGAAACGAAGAAACAGGTTTACATTTAGATATTCAAATTACTCTGGAGTATACCAGGGTAAATAAGGATATACTATTTACTAAGACTGTGATAAGAATATACAAACAGCGCTGAAATAAATAAGGACATAAGGGTGTGGGAGGAAATTACACATTCGAACATGCCACAACGTTATCAGGAAACACTGGCTCACTTATAAGTGATAAAGGAGTGGCACGAACTGAACAATGACACAGTGGATGATGACAGGTTTAGATTTCATCCTCGAAATGGATAGTTTTGGTATTCAAATATATATAGCAGACCTATTTCATGCCAGTAGAAAGCTAAAAGATGGAACCGTGAGTTGAAGTGAAGTTTTCGCAAACTCGTAAATAATTACAAAACAGGTAATTACAGAAGGGCAGAGAGAGACTTGTTTTATGTTTGTATTCATTATGTCTGGTTTGTGTTCCACTTACTCATACATGAATAAAGCCATACCACAAAACACCAATTGGGTGCGTATCACATTTGACCTTTACTCATTGTTGCAGCTCGGGCAAGCAGACTGTCGTGTGGTCTCCCGCCGACGGCCGCACCACAACTACTACCACTACCACAACTACCGCCCCCACTTCTGCCTCGCCTGTTATAACCACCACCACCACCACCACCACCGCCATGTCGCGGAAGTTCTCGTGCAGCCCCAAGGCGATAAAGGAGTTGATCCATGCCAACCTCCTGCCCATCTTGACCGTGTCTGGTGTGACGGGAGGCGCTGTCTTGGGACTTATACTACGGTAGGTATTTACTCATCTATAACTACCTATATGTGGTTACAGAAGTAGATATATGCTCCTTTGACTACAAATAGGCAGCTACAGAAGCAGAACTCGTCTTTAGTAATTCATCATTAGCTCGCCATGAGGCTGGCTAAAACGACACGGGTTCGATTCTCCGGCTAACCGCAGTGTTGGTTGTCAATGATTAAATACCACTTGTTCGTGGTTACAATATATATATATATATATATATATATATATATATATATATATATATATATATATATATATATATATATATATATATTGGCAGTTTGGAGGGATATGTTGTGTATCTTTATACGTGTATGCTTCTAAACTGTTGTATTCTGACCACCTCTGCAAAAGCAGTGATAATGTGTGAGTGTGGTGAAAGTGTTGAATGATGATGAAAGTATTTTCTTTTTGGGGATTTTCTTTCTTTTTTGGGTCACCCTGCCTCGGTGGGAGACGACCGACTTGTTGAAATATATATATATATATATATATATATATATATATATATATATATATATATATATATATTATATATATATATTATTTATGTGTGTGAATAATAAAAACATTTTATTATTCAGTACGTACATTATACCTACACAATGCTCTCTATCTCTTTTAAGACTGCAGTCAGTTTTACTATGTACAGTTTTATTACTAGTAGTTATATTTATACCAGCACAAGCTACATGAACACAGTCATTGCATATCACACACACTACGCTTCTTGTAGTAAATTTAAATTTATTTTCACACTTCAACAGATTTTGCTCATGACTGATATTCTGACAGCCACTTAGGCTTGGTGTACTTTTTTTTTTTTAAATATTAACTGAGGAAGAACACAAGCCACAATTTTCCATCTTTAGGAATTCACAAATAGCCCATAATTTGGAGAGAAAACTTTAGATCGCTATTCGGTACGTTCTGGACCATTATAATTATTATAATGGTCTTGGAGGGATCAAAACAACTTCTAAAGATTCCTCTCCAAATTGTGAGTTAGTTGTGAAATGCCTGACAGTGTCGGGTTTTTTCCTGAGCTGCGGCGTCGTTGGTACTTCCTGTTGCACACACCACATAAACATTTTTAACGACATGTTTGAAAGAAACTTTTGTAACACTGAGCTTGTTTTGGTGTATCAGGTAAATGGACATAAATGCAACTAATGTAACGTTTTATTGGGACAACGTTTCTTTCTCCAGGAGAGCGAAACGCTGCTACAATAAAATGTTACATTAATTGCATTTGTGTCAATTTGTCGGTAATTCTGTTAGTACTAGTTCGGGTATGCGCTCTGGCCTTCATGATTCAGAGTTAATATCCGTTAGAGATATAAAATTTCTCAATAAAAGTTTTGCAGATCACCGTTTCTTAATGATATTTCAATGTCTAGGCCTCCAAATACACCCAGTACATTACATCTACAATTAAAATAACATAGATGTAAACACAAGAATACCACAGATATAAACTCAGGATAAGTTATAAGGAATGAGTGTCAACGAATAAACAAAATAATGGAAAAGGACTCGAACCGTGGTCCAGGCATAGTATATCTGTTTAACCCAGATATATTTAGTTTAAAACATTCTTTTCACTCTCAAAAAGCGCTTTTTATGTGTTCTTGTAGTCTGTGTTGGCCAACTTGCGTACGAAAAATTCTTCAGCTTACCCATCTTTGCTCACTTATCTAGAAGAACATGTAGCTTGATGGTAGCAGATATTCTAACAACGATGGATTTCACTTGAATTTATTTTTGAATATATTCATATTCAAAAATAGATAAATGAAAGTAGCGGATTGGCAATACAGTTGTAGATTGAATGAAATGACCTGCTAAGTAGTACCAGTGAAGCGAACGCTTTACGGCTAGGTTTAAAAAGAGGTTAAAGGAGGAAACAAGGGGAATAATTCGAGGGTGGGATTACAACTTGCTCACCGTAGGACAGTACCGATGCAGACACAATATGCAGCAAACTTTTATTGGTGCTGCATTTCGTTCACGGTAGAGCTTGATGGAATCTTGGTATGATAAACCTCAACCCTGAGCGAAACGTAGTCTCGGTAAAACCTGCATAATGTGCCTTGGTGATTGAGACACTTATGCAATATCTGGGTATCTTTACTCTGGAAAAGTTTCACCACCCAGTGACTTCTTCAGTCAAATGCAGAAAAAATGTGGAAGGTGATGATTTTGATGGACTGAACACATCGTCTCTAGGATGAGGGACTGATTACCTCAAACTCCTCATCTTCCACCTTTTCTGCATTGGACTGGAGAAGCCACTGGGTGGCGAAACGTTTCCAGAATATACCTAAAATGTTGCTAAAGTGTCTCATTTATCAATTTGTCGGTTTTCTAACCCATTTATGCACATATTGTATTAGCGCGCTATACTTGTCAGCATTATGTATCTACAACAAAGAGCCGACGGTCCTTCAAGAGAACATAGCTCTTCAAGAAATTCTTTTACGCTATGCCTACTGCAGTGCTCTTATCTAAGATGTTCTTCAAGAATGTCTTGTATAGTATGATCATTAAAGAGCTTCTGTTCCCTAGTAGCTTTTCAAGAAATACATATACATGTTATCTTTACCCGTGTCGGCCTCAGATACTCCCGCGAAGAGCACTGGACCAAGCGAGAGGTGATGTATGTGGGTTACATCGGTGAGCTCTTCCTTCGGGCCCTCAAGGCTCTCATCATCCCCCTCATCGTCTCGTCTCTCGTCTCTGCTATCGGTAAGCCAAGCTCAAGAGTTCTGCTTCCTGCACCTCTAACTTCAGCTCTACCTAGTACCTGTAGTTCTTGGTATCTCTTTCCCAACTTTTCCACTAGTAATCTAGACCATGTATTTTTTTCCCCTCACCGCATGTAGTTAATGTAAACCAATGGTTCTCCAGTTGTTGGCAGCGAGCCTCTGGGGTAAAGGGTCGTCGAGTAATTCCGGTGAGTCCGCGAAGCTTTATATGTAAACCTTTACCAGCCAGTGCTTAATTTTCTCAATTAACTTAGTCTAAAATTAGAACTGTTAGCATGTGGGGGTCCGGGAAAACTTTTGAATTTAAAGAGGGGATGCTCATGCTTGAAAAAAATTGAGAATACTTATGAATACTTGTAATGAAATGGGGGGAGGGTGCTGTGTATCTTGATCTGGGGAATTGGAGCCATCATCCTTTTCCTGGAATAGAGTTTGTCTACCATTCCCCAGGCACTTGTTTAACACATGGGGAATTAGCGCTACCATGTGAATATTATAATGAGATCTAGCGTCTATTTAACCGTGGTCTCCAGGTTCCCTCGACCTGTCGCTCTCCAAGAAGATCGGTTTGCGTGCCATCGCCTACTACATGACGACGACGGTGCTGGCGGTGATCCTGGGCATCATCCTAGTGGTGAGCATCCACCCAGGGAAGGGCTCTGATGAGGGCATCAAAAAGGCAGGAGAGGCTCGTGATGTGTACACCCCAGATCTTCTCATGGATCTCCTCAGGTGAGTCTTGTGGTCTCCTACCTTCTGTCCTGCTTCTTCGTCGGGTATAGGTCTTGTGCTGAACGTGGGGGAAATGGAGCGGAGTGGTTATGGAAAAGTGGTAGTGGTGTTTAAGTTTAGCTCAGTAGTTAGAACATTCGGCTTACAGCCGAAAGACCCAGGTTTGATTCATAGGCAGGGCTAAGAGTATGAGCCAGCCTCGCCTCCGTACACTTAATATTCCAAATCGCCTAGCAGTAAATAGGTACTTAGATCCTAGCTTACTATTGTGGATGGCATCCTGAGAGGAAAAAAGGGACATCAGCAAGATTTAAAATAAGCTGAAGTAGGAATATTGTTCTTAACCTGTAAAATTAGTGTGGTGCTGGAGGTGACGGTGGTTTGAGAGGTTTTAATGCCGAGAGTATTAGTAGTAAGAGTGGATTTAAAGAGTTCGATGGAGACTGTCATCACTAGTGTGGTTACTTACACTCGACTGAGCATGGGGCCACCTGCACACGACTGGGGTCACCTGCACGTTAGGCCCGTCTGAAGAAGAAACTACCAGAACAACTCAGTAGAGTTAGATACATCTCGTGGATGTCAGTATTCCAACAGAAGTAACGACACAATCTCGGGCGACATAAACCTGCTCCACGCCTGCATAACGACGACTTCCTCACCCTTGCTTCTGTTGCTGATGAGGAACTCAGATGGAGGTCGAGATAATCAATAAACTTTGTTTTCTAGTCATTTATCTCTTAAATCTTCTGTATATTATTCCATTCACATCCTTGTTCCATCAATGTATGTTTCAAACCTTCTGTACCACTTTACGAAATAAAATTAAGTATGTAAAACTTGCGATTTTGGCTTAAATACTAACGCTCTTCTTGCCGAATAAGGCAAGCGAAAATATGTGTATGCAATAATTTTGCTAAGATCATTCTGAACCTAACGAAAAAAAATATTTCATTGTGTTTGTTTATTAAATTATTGTAAACTTAACTAAAATATATTTAATTCGAGGTTAAATTAAATTGCGCTTGTTATAATACAGTTAGGTAAGTTTTCTAAGGTTCTTTTGGTACAAAATTATTAATTTTTACATTAACATTAATGAAAAATATATCTTTAAATGTATAAGAGAAAATTTTAGAAAGGACTTAATTTTAAATGAGTTCTTGCTAACTGACCAGTTTTACCTATTCAGCACTACATTATATATATCATCATCTTTCAACAAACCGGCCGTATCCCACCAAAGCAGGGTAGCCGAAAAAGAAAAACAAAAGTCTCTCTTTTTGACTTTAGTAATGTATACAGGAGAAGGGATTACTAGCCCCTTACTCCCGGCATTTTAGTCGCCTCTTACAACATGCATGGCTTACGGAGGAAGAATTCTGTTCCACTTCCCCATGGAGATAAGAGGAAATAAACAAGAACAAGAACTAGTAAGAAAAAAGAAAATCCAGAGGGGTGTGTGTATATATACGCTTGTACATGCATGCGTGGTGTGACCTAAGAATAAGCAGAAGTAGCAAGATGTACCTGAAATCTTGCATGTTTATGAAGCAAAAAAGACACCAGCAATCCTACCATCATGTAAAACAAGTACAGGCTTTCGTTTTACACTCACTTGTCAGGACGGTAGTACCTCCCTAGGCGGTTGCTGTCTACCAACTTACTACCACTTTACGATATATATATATATATATATATATATATATATATATATATATAATATATATATATATATATATATATATATATATATATATATATATATAAATAATGTAAGTATATGGGAGTACACTGTATATCGTAATCCTTCACTCTGCTTGGGATTAAAGCAACTTTGTAGTTAGTATAGATGTATATTGCATCCTTAACGATGCTGGTAGTAGATAGGCCTTAACCATTACCAATTAATCTATGGGATTTAATGTAAGGAGGGACTAAAGTAAACTAAGGGTTTTACATTGCTTGTGGATCCGGGTGGTATTATTTTCCTCGTATAATTATCGTCACTATTATTAAGATAATGGTATACTTGATATAATGAGGAGAACAACCATGACGCCAACGAGAAAACTGATTTGTTGTTCTACCTTTAATTTTTCAGAAACTTGTTTCCACCCAACCTGATCCAGGCGTGTTTTGAGACGGTGAGTGTTATCCATGTATTATGTCTTGTGTGATATTGTTGCCACTGTTGAGTCTCTTGAGTGTACGTATGTTGTGGTGATGCTGTCAGTACCGGACGCATTGGTTGGTTCTATTGTGTCTAGCGACTTACTGCGACTTATTCTCAGTAGTAGTAACCAGTTACCAGTAACCAGTGTACCAGTAGATGACTCACTACCAACCGTCTCTGCTCTCTATCGTAAGACTAACTAACTCACAGTGCCCATATGTGAGGGGGTGTTTGAAATCCTGCTATGGTCAGCAGCAATATGAATACAGACAGTGATTCACGCAGAGACGGTTAGTAGTGAGTCATCTACTGGTACACAGGTTACTGGTTACTACTACTGAGATTATGGCTGTTACGACAGCCTCCTGTGTAGTGCTGTATGATGTATTTTCAATAACTACACAGACTACCCATCTCTTGTTTTTTTTTTCCTTATTTTCATTAATGTGCCTTTTCTGTAGTGTTACGGTTTCCTATCACTACAGAAAAGTAGCGTTAGGCTTGCCGACACCAATAATGCTCTTTTCTGTCATGTTACAAATCAGTCATCCTCCTGACTGCTCCTCTGCTAAAATTGTCTGCCTTACCTCTAACGTTCACAATTGACGACTTGTCGAATCATCCCTTTACACAACTTTCCTTGTATGAATCTTAGTCATGGCTTTGTCTCTGTAGACGCCTTCCTTTCCCATTATATTGTGAAATGCTCCAAACTTCAGAATACACGTGATTTAACTAGATTCTTTTTTCTCCTCTCTCCACCTCTTCTCCTTTCCTATTTTTGCCTTTTCTAGTTTTGGGTTTCCTTCTGCCTTGGGTGTTGTGTCTTTCATTTCCCCTTCCCCCCTACCCCGTGTTTTTGTTCTTACCCTTTGTGGGTCCATAGCTCTCCTGCAGTGTTCTTTTTTCTTGGCCTTTAGACTGATCCTACAACTACTTCCTATCCTTCTAGCTTTGCCTCCTACCCTCACTTTTGCCTCCCTTCACCCGATTCTATTCTTGTCTCATCAACCACGCTCCCTACTTTACACTACCACCACCACCATCGCTACTACTACTACTACTACTACTACTTCGACTATCAGCCTTACCCCCACTACTTCTACTACTACTTCCACTACCTGCCTTACCACTACCACTCCTCCCACGTCTCTTGTCCCGTTCCTGCTATCTGTCCTATATATACTGTCTCCATCTCTTTTCTGTTAGTGTGACTACGTAAATGGTACAGGTAGGACCGAAACTTCGTCGTAAGCTCCTCCCTCCTATATGCGCGTTATTTGTTTTGGACAATCAGCCTACGCCTTATATGCTCTCTTCCTCCTCTTACCCTTCCCCCTCCTCCTTTCTCGAATCGTTCTTCTCCCAGTTTTTCCCCTCAGCAGTCATAACCTGGTGCGCGGGATACCCAGGTATTCTCTCATCATTACACCTGTGCGAGTTATTGCATATTATTTATGAAGACGTTTCGTCCACCAAGAGTTTTAACAATTCATATATAGATAACGTCTCTGGTTTAATATGTTCTCCGAGGTTTTATTATCTCCCATTAAGTGATCTGTTATCATCTTGGTGGGTCAGTTGGCCCTATACAGTGTTCCTCCATTATCATGTTCTTATAATCCTGTTGTATATTTGTGTTTGTTGGTGACTGATTATCACTGACACCTCACGAAGGTTCCGTCATGCATTACAACTTGCCTGCCCCTAGACACAATAATTTGCAATATTATTACTCCATGCTGTAAAATTCGATTCGGAATGGTTATAGGAAGGTTCAGCAATAATGGTTAATGAGGGGAATAACGCACGAAGCAGATGTATAGATAGATAACTAGATAGATAGAGAGAGATTTGGAGGGATGGAGGGGGTTTAAGACGGTAAACAGCCACAAGGAGGAGAGAGTGGCAGGTCCCATCTATTTGAAGTACCTCACATGAGCATCTCAACACACACACCTGGGTGTCAAGTTCTGATCTGAGACTGGTGGTCTTACCTTTAACAAGATCATTTCTACTACCTAAGACACAGACAACATATCATAGAGTGGTTAATAAGAAGTGTTATTCAAAATGCTACACATCATATTACAATGTATTGAAATATACTCCACTTTATTACAAATTATAAAGAACACTAAACATCACATTAAGATATATACACTATATATATATATATATATATATATAATATATATATATATATATATATATATATATATATATATATATATATAGTATAATGTCGTGCCTATTCAGATTCCTTTATTTCAGGTGGACGACATGTCTATATACACAAAAGCCCCTTAATATGCAGAACATTTCGGACAAACTTAAGACTAACTTAAGATTAATAAGACAATGTCTTATTGAGAGTTTTTATATACATTCACTCAGGTGGTTGTAAATATAAACTTAGGAGTCACACTAAACTTCCTTAAAAATTAAACTTTTCTAAAAAATTCTTTTACAGAAAGTAAGATTTTTTTCTTTCATTGACAATGATATAAAGATTTAAATTTTTGGACAAAAAAAAACGTAGAAACCTCACCTAACTTCATTTAAACTAAATTATTTTTTTTAGTTAAATTCTGCTATATATTACATAGGTAGTTGCATTAATTTAATATTACTTAAAATAAATTATATTTTTTTTTCGTTATGCTCAGATTGAATTTGGTAGAGTCATGGCCTGAAAATTTTTTCCTCTGGCTATTTGACAGAAAACAACCTTGCTAAATAGACCAAACTCAGATGTTAGGCATATGTATGTGTGGGAATTATATATAAAATATATAACACAAACGTCAATGTTTATGGGAATGAGGTATGGATGATTAAATATTTACAATGAATGTGAGATATGTAATTACATGGATGATTGCGGTAAATAATTATGGTTTGTCTCGCTATCTGCTGACGAAGGATCGAGCCGACACTTCTCCTTGTGCTGCATCACCTAATAGGGTCTAGCGCCTCGAAATATAATGTATAATTACGTATTTCTAAGTAGCTACTGAATTATTTGTAAGTGTTTTTGTGGCTGCAACACAACGCTTCAATGTCAGATCAGTTTTAGTATTTTTATTGCTCTGTGAAGCGCTAAACCCTTAGAGGTTCGACAGCACCTAGGGAATGGGATGTTGGAGGGTAATCAATGGTGGTTCCTAAGGAAGGGAATGGTAGTTCCAGCTATTTGGATCAAGAGCCCTGATCCTTACTGTTGATGCCTGGTCCTTGCTCCTAAGGCTTGTACCCACTCCTTGTATCTGCGGTCTGGACCCCAGTCTTTGTTTCTGAGGTTTGAACCCCAGTCCTTGCTCCTGAGGTCTGGTCCCTAGTCCTTGCTCCTGAGATCTGGACCCTACTCCTTGTTTTTGAGGTCTGGAACCCAGTCCTTATTTCTGAGGTCAGGACCCCAGTCCTTGTTTCTGGGGTTTGGACCCCAATCATTGCTCCTGAGGTCTGGACCCCACTTCTTGATCCTGAGATCTGGTTCCTACTTCTTGTTCCTGAGGTCTGGCCCTCTGCTGCGTTGTCCTCCTTCATCCATCACCTGAAGAGAATGCTGAGGACAAGCACGGTCGTGAGTGTGAGGGCAGGGAGAGTGATGGTACTTGCAGTGTTGCAGCTGTTGGTGGTACAGAAGCAGATAATGGTAGTGGAGGTGGCGTGGCTCCAGCAACCCTCCTTGTAGGGTACCCCTTGTAGGTTCTTTCTCGGAGAACACCCGCGGACTGTCCGACTCTCTGCCGTACATAAACAAAACATTACACATCATTCAAAGAACAGAAATTAATAAAAATAAAATAGCGCTGAGACCAGCAGATCACTAGTATACGTGATATATGTACGTAAAATGTTATTCCAAAATTTAAATTATTTTTCACTATATAGCAATGGGAATTTTGGCTAGTATCAGTCACAGAAGGGGAAGTCACAGCTAGGGTGTTTCTTGGCTGGACATTGCTTAGTCTCCATACAATGTTCAGTATTGCCTCTTATTGTCTTGTAAATGACTGACATCTCTCCTTAACATCACTTAATTTATTCTTCAACCTTAAGTCACGTTTTTCTTCTATCTGTGCTAGTAGAAATACACAGGTATGATGATCATGATAATAATAATAATAATAATAATAATATTATTATTATTATTATTATTATTATTATTCTTATTATTAATCAGTAAATAATACTATTGATAGTGATTTTTATTAATCAGTGATATTTTTACACATGTTCTTGCTTCATTGACCAATCAGTGTCACGGGGAAAATGTCTTGGTGCTGGAAACTCTCTGGAAATCGCAATCAAGTGAGAGGTTACACTGCGCATGCCGCTGATACTTTTGAAGTTGTAATTTACTGAGGGTGAGGAATCGGTATGTGTTAGTACTGAGGAAGCAAGAGTCGTGCCTCAACACCAAGACCGAAATTATTGTTTATTATACGTACCATGCGACTGTTTTTTGTGAAGGCATGAGGTCATGATTAATAGTCATCCGCAAGAATGATAAATGATAAGAAAACAACAGACTTTAAATCAAAATAAATAAGTTTAGCTTACAGAGTAAGTTAGTGTTAAAATTAGACATAATCTCAAATGCAATAAACTACGATCACAACCTCTTAGATATACAAAGTGTAACGTTAGACTTTGAGAAATCCAAAAACAGTGTACGAGAACGAATATTATTATTGAATATTATTATTATTGAGTATTATTAATGACTCTGTTCAAATTATTTGTGCTCTCTCGCTTAGAATGCTGTTTGATGTTGATAGCTTCGTTCAATGCAAGAGTTATTTAAGGTAAAACTGATACAAAGATCGTTTACTGCCCTCATAGAGTCAAAGCATTTTAACTACTGGAAACGCCTTAGAGAGCCGAATGTACTCTCTGAAGCAGAGAGATGCATGATAATATACACGTGGAAGATACTTGAGGGCCTAGTTCCAAACCTACAATCTCCTATAAAAAAAATACTGGCATGAGAGAGAAATAAGAGAATGTGTAAAATAAATCCAGGGAAAAAGCAGGGGCAACACAGGTACGATAGAAGTTCACTGTATCAACATCAGTGGACCTAGACTACCAGCAGGAACAAATGCAGGAAACTGAATCACTACCTCCACCAAATGCCAGATCAACTAGGCTGCGATGTCTGTGTGTCAGCGGGCCGCCAGCAGCAACAGCTTGGTTGACCATGCAGTGAAGAGCAATAATTGAGACACTTAGGCAACTAAACAAAAAAGGCACAATACCGTGACTGGAACGATATACAAATAACCCGCACATAGAAGAGAGGAACTTATGACGACGTTTCGGTCCGACTTGGACCATATACAAAGTCACACTAACGAAAAGGAGAGCAGGAAGGGTATATATAGGCAGGAGGTGGTAGTAGTAGTGGAGGCGGAAGGATGTAGTACTACCTTCCCTACTACTACTACTACCTTCCACCTCTACCACTACTACTACTACTACCACTACCACCTCCTGCCTATATATACCCTTCCTGCTCTCCTTTTCGTTAGTGTGACTTTATAAATGGTCCAAGTCGGACCGAAACGTCGTCGTAAGCTCCTCTCTTCTATGTGCGGGTTATTTGTGTACTTTGGCAACATTTGGTTTGTCGGTTTTCTAAATCATTTATAATGAAGAGCAAAGTCTGGCCCCAGGCCAGGCTGCGAGAGAAGGAAAATTCTCGAGACCCGTCACAGGTATTACAAAAGAAGTACCATGAATAAAGGACACGCACACACATCAATTGATACACAACTAACCCACAAATTTGAATGGAAACTGTAGACGACGTCTCAATAAAATCCTCGACCATTATCAAGTAGCGACTGAGAGAGAACAGGGAAGCCAGAAGAGAGGTCAAGGCTGGTCTCCAAATTGTAGGCTAGTTGTAAATTGTTTCTGTGACAATGTTGTCTTCGCTCTTCATCCGTAGATAAGTGAGTGGGGACTCCATAATACCTAGCACAGCAGAAGTGCCACTCTCAAACACTGAATTATTATTATTATTATTAAAGATTCGCCGGTATTCTCCCGGCCCGGGCCTTTTCCAAGTGGTGGCCCGGCCTTGGCTCCCTCTTTAGGGAGTGACTGAGACCTAAGTCTCCCATGGGAGGAGGCACAAGTACCTCCTCATCTTCGGGACCAACTGTCCCCAGGCCTAGCCACAAGCTAGGCCTCTCTGGTCTGCCATCCCCGCCCCAAAGGGGCAAATGGGAATGACAGTCTTATGAGCTAAAGGCTCGGGCTCAGGCACCTACCCTACCCTAGAAGGGTTAGGCATGGTGTCGATCTCAAACACTGAAGGATTTATTATTATTATTATTATTATTATTATTATTATTATTATTATTATTATTATTATTATTATATTACTAATATATTCATGGGAGAGCTAAAAGTACCAGAAAAGACATTCAACTGGAGAAGGTTATATGCAATTTTTTAAGGCACATTTTTACATTTAAGTTGCAGCCCATTTCTAAGTTAGGTTACAACGGAAAAACTCTAAATATAAAATAAAAGACGATAAAATAGTCTGCAGCGCCAACAGAAAACGGGCAGCCACTTCCCTCGGCCCATATAACTAAGTTATATTTCAACTGTTCAAGGTTCAGCACCTATTTGACTGTTTGAAGTGCCAAATTGTGTGTGGTTACGAGGACAGGCTGCAACATAGCCAGCATCGACTGAAGATCACCGATATGCTGCGTGGGTTACACTGAAGGGTTGGCAAAGAATTCCCGAATTTGAAATAAAAGGATGATGGCAGAGGGGCGAGAGAAGAGGAATGAGGACCAACGAAAGATGGTAGAGAGAAGAAGGATAAAGGAGACAGAAGCCAATATAAAAGAGGAGGGTAAATAAGGGACGTGACGTGATGGCGTGCGGGAACAATGGTGGGAGGGGATGAGGATGGGGAGTGGCAAGCAGGAAAATCATGGGATTCGTTAATCATGGGCAAAAATAAAGATAAAGACAAGATAATAGCCATAAATAGAAGAAAAAGTCAAACTAGCGGTATCTTAGATTGAAACACAAGAGTTAGGGGAAAAATACCAGCAGATATACATAGGAAGCAATAGATGGCAGGCCAGAGGAGACGAGAATACTCTTGATATATTCAGCTTAAACCTTATTACGTATGAGACAGTTATGGAAACTGTAATGAGGAAAGCGACAACATAAGATAAAAAGTAAAGCAAGTCCATGAGAAAGAATACGTGATAAGTCTTAAAAGACTTGTTGATAAGCCACATGTGCAACAGTTAAGTATGTTTATTCCGAAACGTTTCGCTTACACGGTGGGATTCTTTAGTCAGCACAGAGGAAGCAGCTGAAGCAGTGGAGATGCAAAGACGATGTAATCAGTCCATCACCCTGGAAGACGTAGTTTTGAGGTGGTCAGTCCCTCAGCCTGGAGAAGTGTTCTGTTCTATAGTCTGGAACAATGTTACAGACTATGGAGCACAGACTGAGGAACTGACAACCTTGTAACTACGTCTTAAGACCAGAGTGATGTACTGATTACATTGTCTTCATATCTCCATTGCTTATCCTGTATTCGACTGCAGAAGTCTTCTGTGTAGGAGAAATGTTTTGGAGTAAATATTTACCCAGCTGATGGGCCAGTAGGCCTGCTGCAGTGTTCCTTCTTTCAACTTGTTGTTGATATTGTATCCCATTATTATATTCACACTATTAAAAGACGTGTACAGCAACGAGGGAAAACTTAACATAAATACAAGACTAAAAAGAGTAATGATAACAATATAAATAATGACAGTAATATGAATAGTGTTGTAAGTGCAGCGAGTCGAAGGAGCATCCCTCAATGGCCTGGAGTTTTACCACTCGCTCGCCATGGGTTCTAACCCCACTAGTATAGTTGTTTCTTTGCAATCGTCTTATTACGATTTCTTAAGTCAAACCATTACTGTCCGTGAGTACGTTACTCTTTGATGTGTGTTCACAGAGCTGTCTGCTGGAGGTCGATAGTCAGCTCCTAGCCCCACCTCCTAGATCGGCACCACTGATTACTGGCCTCTTAGGCCTCATCATACGTACCATTGTAGAAGACGATGACACGAGCCAACGACTGTAATCGGTATAGTAGTAGTAGTAATGGTAATAGTAGTCAGTAGTAGTACTAGTACCTTTCATCCGTGGACTGCTTGCAGAGGCAATGTTCGCGGCTTTCACTGAGACCCACATAAAGGATCACTTGGACAACGAAATATGGATCCCAGGTTACAACCTATACATATGTGACAGAGTGAACAGGCAAAAGGGGGGGGGTTGGCCTGTACATTGCAGAGTCACTTGTTTGCACAGAACTGCTTAATGCCTCAAATGATGTAGTGGAAGTTTTAGCAGTAAAGATCGAGAACCAAAACCTAGTCATTGTGGTAGTCTACAAGCCTCCGGATGCAACATCCCAGCAATTCCAGGAACAGCTGTTAAAAATTGACCACTGTCTGGAAAATCTTCCAGCTCCTGCACCCAACATCTTGCTCCTGGGGGATTTCAACTTAAGGCAGCTAAAATGGAGGAATATAGCAAATAATATTGTTGCAGTAATAACACCAGGAGGCAGCTCTGATGAAAACTCACACTCACACGAGCTTTTAAATCTCTGCACAAAATTCAATTTAAACCAGCAAATAATAGAGCCTACTAGACTGGAGAATACACTAGACCTCATCTTCACTAACAATGATGA